CAACAGGGAACAGGGGCCCATTCGGCCTGTGCCTGATCGGTGACGCGGTCTTTGGCGTGTGGCTTCGAGCGGACGCTAGCCCGTGTTCAATGTCAACATGCTTCCAGTGACGTGGGAGGGGCCAGGGGCACTTGAATTTTCTCTCAACCACTCTGACGCTCTGGGACGGCCGAGAATAGATTGGACGACAGCGATGGGTTTGAGATATGCCAGTTTGGCATTTCTCGCCGTTCGAATCCTTCTCTCATCGAGTGTGAATGTCCCGGAAACAGACGTTGGAAACTCCACATGCTGGACGTTGGATAAGGCGACAGTTGCTGTGGCTGGAGAGAGGCCACCTGCCAAGGCCAGAGTGGATGGGGGTTTCCCACAGCCCGGATTTGGTCTTTCTGTCACTGTTTCAGGCCAATGAAGAAGCTCCAGTTGAGAGTTCCTGATGGCTCTCTTCGGTGTCTGCTAACCATCCGGTGCAGTTCAATCAATTCTACCCACATCGGGATTAAAAGCAACCTCAATTCTGGCCGACTTCCAAGAAATTCTTGTAGGCTCTCTGCTTCCATGGAATTATCCTGGCTTTGACGAACACATCTCTTTGCTCCTTTAATAGGCCAATGCCCCGAAACCCCTCCAATCGCAAACACGAACGTCTACGAATAGAGTGGTAGTGCATTCTTTGGTCCATTATGGCTAGGCTGACTGGTCTCTACTTTGTGTGCAGTTATCTCTGAGATATCCAGACACTCGTCCTACGCAGATGGGCACAAGCACAGGATCCTCCCAAAGCTCAAACCAACCGGTGTGTCGGTGCTAAGGACGAAATGTTTGTTGATTCTGAAGACGGCACACCGCTTGTGGATTGTGTCAATTGTCGAACGATCTTATGACACGAAGCGATGCAATTGGGCTGGCTTGGGAGCTCTGCATTTGCTGCATGCATGTTTGGGATACCTAGTATCGTATCCGTACTTGCCTATTATCTGGATAAATTACGGATGTCTTTACACTGAGGTTGGTCATTTCGAGAAAAACTGGCTCCTTTTCGGACTTGAATTGAGTCGAGTTGATTTGTGTCTTTGGCGAGAGAGTTCACAATTCATCAGGGTCCAAGACGGCTTATCGAAACACGCTCACTTCGGTATCTGCGCCTTCTCTGTGTGACCCCTGCTGAGCTGATGCTGGGCAGTCGCGCTTGGCCGGGTCTGCGGCTTGGCGCCACGCACCTAGCGGCCCCTGGTCTGTGATTTCAGAATTTCAGATGAATGACGCACGTCGATGGAGCCCTATTTCCAACTTTCCCAGCCTCACCCAAGCGGGGTCAATTGACGAATTCGAAAAGGGCCGGCCAATCATCATTCCAGCCTCAACAAGACGCGAACCACAGCGTGAGACGCGACCACACTTCTTCAACTAGAATCTCGATGTTCACAGTCACCCCAAAGAGGAACTCCTTCAACTCCGAAACGGGTCCTTGACCGAGCATGCGAGCAACTCGGAGTTCGGTACTGCAATGCAGCCCTTCTCACATCATGGAGTTCTGCCATCCAGGATGAACTCTTCTTCACCACCAAACGCCCATCCATCACAAAGCCCCAAGTCAGGTACAAATCCTACCTTGACAGCACTACCGTTCAAGATGGCAGCGCTCTGACAGGTGCTAATCCCGCAGCAAACGCTCCGTACCAATAGCGATGCTCCATCACTATCCTGCTATCTCGAATGCTGGCTGATAGATTCCCATCTGCGAAACGCCATCCTCCCACGTCTTCTCCCGCGTCTCATGGGCCTGGGGGTTTTGACCGTTGCGGCGTAAAATCTCCGGAAGCAACCTTCGACGGACAAGTCCTCGATGCCGAGCGCTTGATGAGGCCAGTGCACCCGGCCATAACGCCAAAGAGAGCCTCATCTTGGCGGGCCATCACCTCGAAAAGATGAGGATTGGCATGGGCAAAGACAGTTCTCCAAACGATAAACAACTGCCATCTCGATGTCGACTTCCTATTCCCCCGTCAGCCCGTCCGTTGTGGGCTAAAGCGACACTTGAACCCTGCAGGATACAGGGGTTTCTTCCAGGAAACCTGAAAGACTTTCCAAGAAATATGGAAATTTGGGTCCAGCTTCCCCTCACAGTGAATCCGATAACAGATACCATTACACCATTCATCGCACGGTAGTATTGCCCTCCTGCAGTTGGGTCACCCATCATCTCCTGTACAGTTTGATAATCAGGGCACGCAGGACACCAGGCTGCAGTTGACGCAGTGGGGAACCATTTTTGCCGGCACTTCTGGTTATCTCTTCGGTCTGTCCTTCCGGGGACTTTGTTGATTCCGATCAACAGGTGGGCAGGCAATTCTGACGCCCAGCCGGACTCGACATGCTGCACAGCTAGATGGGGAGTGACCAATAGAGACGGTGTTGGTCAGAGGTTTGTGACACATTGGTATTGGAGTACATACAGCGTGAACGCCCCTTGGCAATCTGTCTCTGACACAAACTTTCCGCGATGCATTTCCGAACGTCTTACCAACTGTTCGGAGCCCCCTTGGGCGGGAGCGAGAGTCGTAGTCACCACGGCCGAGTGCAGGTTCATGTTGACGTGTATTGCCGCCGACATACCCCTATCGTCGACATTGTTATAAGCTTGTAGCGTACGGCTAATTGCGCAAGGTGCATGAGGGCGGAGACGGCATTGACGGGGCACGGTCGAATCGGCTAGATACCAACGATCCATCCACAAGTGCCCGTTGTTCGGGACGGCCCAGGTAGCTTGTTCGTCAGAGTGTCAAGCAAGGCTTGCTGTTGTTGTTTATCTGCATTACTGGGATAGGCTATAAACCAACCAGATGACGATGCTGTGTAGTAACTGGGAGAAGATGCCTTGGTTGCTGTTGATGAAGGCACCACCGCGAAGGTTACCGGAGCAGGCGGCTAATAGCCCACCATATTCCTACGACATGTCCGGTCTGCTTTCTGGCCATGATATGCGCTGTCAACATCGTCAATATTGACGTTTTTCTTTTTGCCTCCTCCCTGCTCGACATTTTGGTTCCCATTCAGGAAGCTGAAAGAAGGAGATGGACATTGGATGGGACAATTGATAGCCAATTGTTGGCATATGGGGGATTGCCGGGATGAGAAGCCACCCCGTTTCCAGCCGCTCTCCCCTTTTATATCGTGAACCTTAATATTGAGAAAGCCTGCTTTTCTTCACACGTGGCACCACTGTGACAAGGTGGAAGGAAACAGGACTGGAAATAGGGGGAGGAATTCAGCTCTGTGACCATTGGGCGTTTATAATTCACACATAATATTGGAGTCGTAAAGAAGCCAGGGTTTTCTTTTCTTCTTGCCGTGTTGTCAATGGCTCGGGCCGTAATTGCGTGGCGGTTTGTACGGTTAGGTAGGACTGAAATGGTTAGGGGTCGAGGCGGTTTGTTTGTTTTCGTGGGCTGAAGAAAGCTTGACTTCTTTTTGGGGGGGGTGGTGTAGATGTCTCAGATCAATATTCGGTTGTTTGGGTTATCAGCCTTAAAAGGCAATGGAAAGTTTTTTTCCCAAGCTACTGCAGATATCTAGGTAAATTGATAGATTTGAGATGAACTGTTGGGCATTGAGGACACTCGGGTCTTGAAGAGTGGGGGTTGGTTGGTGATGATGATTATCCTGATGGGGAAATTGTCATATGGTGAAGATACTCCGTAGTTATGTAGATATATGTCTCGATCAAAGACGGTGATGCTTCACTGCCGAACCGAGAGACAACATGGCGTGTGTGTTTCTTTGTCGTACGAAAACTGCCTGCCCGAGGGGAGAGACATCAGATAGGGGTGTGCAGGGCGGCATGTCTGAGATAAGGGGAGGAGGCTTGGAAGTTTTTGGAGACAACGACTGCAGATAGCCCGGCTGCGGAGTCCGAGAGTTGGGGTTGTCTCTGGGGGACCCCTTTTTCTTATCGTGGACTGACCGGAGAGGTTTTGTTTTTTGGGTGTGAGAAGGTTGTTGACGGGTGTTGGATGTACTTTGTTTTGCTGTAGTTGATAAGAGCTAGGTAGGTACTGTCTAACCTTGGTTCATATACTTTGTTTGCTACCTGTAAGCTAAAGCGGACCGAAGAATATCTTGTATCCAAGTTGAGCTTGGCTCATCTATGCGATTGTTTGCCAGTGATGAATAAAAAGCGAAGAATGGAGACTGCTGATTGGGATATATGTTTGTCTCCGGAGAACATTCCACCGCTTCATGAAGTCGATATTTGTCAAGATCCAACACTCGACACTCATCCAATAGTTTCTTCTCTAGAGAAGTCTTTTTAGTTGTTATCGGTCTCATAGACATCACATTTGCAGATTCCAGGTTCCGAACCAAACCTCTCCAAGTCTTCCGGTTGAAGAGTGAACAAGTCCCCTTCATCAGCATATACAGCTACCTGCTGATATAAAACGTTCTTTGTAAACCCGCATCAATGACACCTCTATCCGATAAACAGGGAATGTGAAACTATCTGGTATCTATTCCTGTTGCAGAGGTGCTTGAATCACAGGCGCCCACCGATTGTCTCTTGACTAACTCTTGTAGCCTACCTAGCATTGGTGATGGCTTCAAGCCCAATGCCAACCACCTTTCCGCAACCACGTCTCCCGTGATAAATCCTTATGGAGGCAGTAAAGCTGGCAAACAATGGCCTTGAGAAGCAAATTAAACAACACCTACCCCTCGGTTGAAGAGGCTCAAAGGCTATGCATGATATTACAGTCCAACCCCAAAAAGACACCCCAACCTCGCCATGTCCATCTGTAGCGTCACCATAAAACCTTTCCAAGATGCTGAAAATTTTCTTTCACCCATGATGTCAAATCTACACATACCCTGGCTTATTTGTCCAGTGCGGTGTGTGGTGGGTGGTGTGTGGTGTGTGGTGGTGGATGTCTCACCAAGTATCCACAAAACGGCTTCAGTCAAAGACTCTATTCCCCAGCCCAGAATAACAACAACACAAAACAGGGCGTGTGGCTCAGTTGGTAGAGCGTTCGCTTAGCATACTCAAAGTCCCTTGAAAAAAATTCTTCATGAATCGATCAGGGATCCCATTGTATGCGAAAGGTCCTGGGTTCGATTCCCAGCTCGTCCAGATCAAATTTCAACTTTTGCCTCATCAATTCAGAACAGTGAAATGGATACCTTTTTGCATTTCATGGATGCAATGGTCTGCTTGTATAATTTATTGTGTGCTAGAATGCTTCGGGGATGGGTATCTTGCGAGAGGATTGGACTTGAGGTCATCACCAATTGTCTTCTTCACTGGTCTACCGGGCATGGAACAAGGTGTAAGTATTGCTAGAGCACTATGCCAACCTGCCTATTCGTTACAAATGCCACTCCAAGCTAAGCAAAACCAAAAGAGCCGCCATGCCTGTCAGTTTTAAAGTTATGCACAATACCCAATTTGCCTGCCTGCTTCTCATGCTCTGCTGTCTATGTTTTGTGCTTCGTAAAGAAAAAAGAAAAAAAAAAGAGAAAAACAACCCTCTTTACCCCTTCAAGCACCCAACTTCTTCCCCTCTATCGTCTTGATATACTTGGTGTGCAACTCCGCCACGGCAGGAATAATCAAGCTCTCAATCTCCAACTCGGGCTCCTGCTCCGGCAAGCTCTTCGGATCCAACGGCTCGTCCTTCTCCGCCTCCTTGCTATCCTCTAGCTTTCCACCCTGCGGTATCCGGATCCACTTGTCCGGGTTCCCAGGACTGACAAACACAACCTCCCACTTCCTCGTAGACAGCAGGTTTCCAATCACCAGGTGATGCTGGTACCGGTCAAGCGAGTACTTGGCCTTGTGCACAAGAATCTTGGGGTCAGTTTCTAGCTTGAAGGAGACGATCATCCCCTCTGGTGACCACCCCTCTACCAGGTTCTTGAGAAACTTGGGAACGGGGTCCAGGTCGACAACGAGGCGCTTGCTGCGAGGGACGGAAGGGGAGGAGTCAAAGTTGTCAAAGGTTTCTTCCTCTTCTGATGCTGACGGTTTTGACTTCTTGTTGAAAGCATCGGCTGCGTCAGTAGATTGGATTTTGTGCTCGGACATGCGGTCGGGCTTTTGCACTTGTTAGTAATTGCAAATAATGGGCGAGAAGGGGAGACATACGGGCACAAAGAAGTCGCTGACTGCCGCAGCGAGATACAGCAACCCCTTGGGTCCCAGCGGCTTCATCAGCTGCGCGATGCTGCGGAGCTCATGGAGGTAATCAGAGATGCTGACGAAGGGGAGGACAAGAAGCATGTTCTTGTCACGGGCCTCGCGGTATTTCCGGAGGACGTTGAGCATCTTCCCGGCATCCTCATCGCGGGCTACCACGCTGCCGTCGGGGCCTTCGCGGAGGAAGTCCAAGAAGCAGTCGGTGGCGTGGCTGTAGTGGCGGGAGTAGGGGAGGAGGGAGAATTGACGGTGACTGTTAAGTGTTAGCTTGAACTGACAGATGTGACAGAATAACTGAATTGATGCTCACAGGAAGAGGACAGCATAACCTGCTTCCAGGAAGTACTCGGCGCTAGTCTAAGTTTCACTGTCAGTATGCTCTTCTTTCGATCCAACCCTGAATACTTCTTGAACATAGCGCACGAAATGCAGAGAGGACACCTTCCCCACCCCCAACACCCCCTTCCCCCTGAATACCTCATCAACCCCCTAACAGCAGCAAAAAAACATCACTTACAGCTCCTCTCGTACCAGCCGAAAAGTTATCAATAAACCGCACAGTCTGCTTCTCTATTACCCCCCATCTCATTAGCACTCATGCCTTCACCATATCCTCACCCAGAACATCAGCCAAACATACCCAAAGGCACGGTAGTACCCCCCGAAGTAACCAACACCAACCTCCTCCCCGCCTTGGAGTGAAAGTCGATAAAGTCCTTCGCCAGCTTCACGTGCTTCTGCAGATCCTTCGGCGGCGGGTTGGCGCTGAAGTAGTGGTCCTCCGCCAGCGCGGCAAGGTTGGAAGGGGGGGACTCGGAGGGTGTGTGAGGCAGCATCTTGATCCGTATGCCTCGGTTTTGTTAATGATGTATGGATAGAAGCTGTGAGTGTGTGAATATCTGTTGATGAGTTAGCTATGTGCCGAGAGGAATATGAGTAGTGAGTGGTGTGCGAGGAAGTTTATATCCCCCAGACTTGAACACGACTGGGAAGCCTCCCAAAAAAGTGGTCTGACACTGACTGGCTGACCTTCTTCAATTTTGGGTCTCGGGACCAATTGACAATCGTTTTTGTCCTTCTCCGACTTCTTGAATCCTGAAGTTGAAAAAAAAATTGTGTATATGATCCGGTATTGCCGGCCGGTGTAATCTCAATGCTGTACTCGTGTCTTCCTCCTCAAATATACCAATTGACTGTAAAGTGTGTAAGAGGTACAGTCGAATCAGATAAAGATGCGAACCTGCGGCAGAGGGGCGGCAAATGCGTCACTTTCGGGATATCCTTGGAGAGCTCGCTCTGGGGATAGTGGGGTAAGTCAGGTAAAAGTACCCCATGAGTGGACTGCGGGGAAGCCCTTTTAATCGACTCAAGTTTCCTCCTGCTGGCTGGCGGGTGAAAGGGGGGTTTGAACTGTTAGGTAATTCGCACGTGCACTACTCAATGAACCGACCCGAATGATCCGAGTCAGTCTGAAGACAGAGAGAGTCCCGGCCCTGAGCGACGGCAGGTACTGCTTTCATGTTGTTTTGCTACGTGCGTCCTGTTCCTGTTCCTGATCATACATACATCAGCCTTCCTCCCCCCACTGGCTCATCCAATATCTGTACAAGTTCCTGCGTCATGATAATACAAAAATATATGCTTGCCCTCCCTGCTGAGCTGAGATGTCAAAGAAAAATGGCCAATACAAGAGGATATAAAGTGGTGCTTCTTTCCTTGCCTCCTCCCAACGCCCCTGTCTATTGCTCGCTTTTCCTTTTGTATGCCCCCAAACGCCAATGCCAACAGCACACAAATAGTGAGTAGTAATAATCACACACATCGCTCCTCCTGTTCATCTGTTTAGAAGCGCGATTAGAATGGCCACTTCTTGGCCTTGGGCTGCTTGGCGTTCTTGAGCATGTTCATCCTTCTCAACCGTTCGCGGTTGGTAGGATCAAGTAGCACGTCGGTGCCGTCCTCACGGTACCAGTGGCTCTGGCCGCCTCCTCTCCGCACGTCGTGGATATTCATCTTGACCCGGCCAATCTTGCGGAGCTTCACCAAGCCGTACCAGCAGACGATCAGAGAGGCAATCGAGGACACCCCAGTGACGGCACCGAAGCCCCAGTTGGTTTCCTCTATGAAATTCTCCAGGTTCATGCCGTACAGGCCTGCCAGGAAGGTACCCATGGCAAGCCCAAGAGTACCCACACTGAACTTGAGGTCGAGAAGCATGAGCGAGTTACGGTTGGCATCAAGAATGGCACGGATACTAGAGCACAATTAGCTGGGTTCAAGCAAAAGTGTGTTGGCTGGCCACATACATTTCTTCCGTGTTTCTGATACTCGAGACCAAGTTGCTCGCCTCCTGAACCACTTCGTCGCAAATCTTGTTGTACGACTCCAGCAGCAGCTCAACCTCCGTATGGTCATCCTCCCCACGGAACAAATCATGCGTCTTCTCAGTGAGATACATAGCCGCAAGATCATCATCCGCCTCAAGCAACTCCTCGATAGCGTCCCTGACCAACTTGGCCTTTTGCTCAAACGTGCTGACTCGCTTGGACAAGACGAGCAAGATCCGGAGCTTCTCCCGATCAATATCGTCCTCCAGCTCGCTGAGCACACGAATAACCGGGTCCCGAACCGACTCAAAGTCAGCCTCCAGCTCCGAAGTAACCGACATCAGCACCGCTTCCAGAGCCCTGAATTCGTAGGGCAAACTGTTCGCCCCGGCCGCCTGCTTCTGCTGAAGTTTTCCCTGTAAATCATACATAAACGCCGACTGCGGGTACGACGACTTCGACCCGTACACGTCAAACAGCAGTACCCGGTCATGCTTGATCAGTACCTTCAAGTGCAGCAGGTTGAGCAAAATCGCCGACGGTCGAACGAGAATATGCGGCAGGTTGGACGAGTCAATCTTTCGGAGATCGCGAGGTAAAAGGCCATACTATTCCCACACAAACTGTCAGTTTACTATCCCCGGCCCCCCTCAAATCTTTTTTTCAACAGTATTCATACCTTTGCAATAAGCTCACTCTTCTTCAACTCGCCATCCACCATAATCACATCCCCGTTCCCATCCACCTCGGTACACCTCAACCGCGGATCCAGCGCCGCCTTGCTCGTCAGCGCCCTCCTCTGGAAAATACTCCCCGACTCCTCCTCCAACTGCACCGGCAAGTCGTCATCCTTCAGCGACTGCCTCGCCTTCTTCGGCGCGTTCCCAAAAACCCAGTCCTGCCACGATCGCTTACAATCCCCCCCTCCCCCATTATCAAGCGGTGGTTTCTGCCCACTACTAGAGGAAGCACACCTCCCTGTCGTTTTCCCACCCGGCTGTCTCCTCAGCCCCTTGGGAATCAGCGCCCCCAACGGCGGCAACAACCCAGCCTGCCTCGTCGCCTCGATCCTCTTCCCCGTTACTACGTCCCCCTCGCGACTATTCGTAGAGACATTGCGACGAGTCGAAAGACCCCCCCGGCGGATGGTGTACTCGGCATAACACAGCCCCTCGGACTGGGCGTGCAAATATCGAAGAAGACTCCGCGACGGCGCTGCTGCTGTTGCTGGTGGTCTCAATGCCGGAGGCATCGCAGCGGGAAGGGGAGAGTGCGGCTTTTCGGTGGGTGGTATTTTTTCTTTCTTTCGCTGTTTCAAAAAACTTGGGAAAGGCTCTCTTCTTCCTTGGCGAAACACAAAAAAAGATTCCCCAAAGTCTGAACTTTCGATGATGCAGGTCCCCGCTGGGCCGGTCCGTGCGCGCAGCTGGTCAAAGTTCAAACTCCAAGTTATCAGTCAGGGTTAGGAGTGGGAAGAACTACTCAACCCTCATTATCTCTCAGCTGGGGATGAAGGACGCAAAAGGAAGATTAAAAACAGCGAGGGAGTTCTGTACTGAAACCATGGCAAAAAGAGCAATTTCCGATCCCTCGTGGGAGGGATTGGCA